TTTCTGCTCCAGTCTTCAACCTGAGCTTGGATCTGCCGCCCGAGGAGAGATGGCTTTCAATAGTCAATCATTATGATAAAGATTATTTCAGGAAAGCAGCAACGGCAATAATCGAGTAAGTACGAATAACGTATTAAGTTAATGTAATTATCAATAAAATCGCGAAGCTTGTTTTACTTTCACAGCACAACATGTACACAACGCGTTGACCCACTGTGCACTGTTATTGTTAGAAGGTTCATCAATGTACACTGAATCCTACTCTTTGTGTTATGAATGGTATGGTATCTACTTCGCGTTACATTTTTGGGTTACATCGTTGGTAGTTTCACTGGTCGTTGCAGGAGTGAAACAGTAAACGAATAATTCCCAGTTACCATGTAGGTGAGCAATCTTGCAAAAATGTTCGCTTTATTTTAGAATGCGTTTCGACTTCTCTAAAAGCTGTCGCTTTCCTTTCAAGGTATCTACGTTTACTTGCAGTTTAATACAAAACTTTTAGGGCTTACGATGTTAATTTAATAATCAATATCTTGATTTAACTCTAAATAGATTGTTTAGTAATCTAGATTTACCCAGTTGGCTTGCCAGTAAATTCAGCTGCTGTTGCAATTCCTCTGTGCGGCTTTAGGATTTTACATGACAATTAAGCGCTAGACCCTAGCCTTGTATAGATCTGTGTAGTTACAATTGGGAGCCGAGTCAGCATGCGTAGGCCGCAAAGAACAAAAGGTTTATTCCATGCCGAAAAGAGAAGAAAGGAAACGCAACGTTTCGGCTGTGAAGCCTTCTTCGGGTGTGTGAAACGTTTCCTTTCTTTTCGGCATGGAATAAACCTTTTACTTGTTCCCTTACAGATTTATGGAGAACATGGTGTGTTTTATAGTTTTATTAACACTCGTTTGTCGCCTTATCAAAATTCGGGAGAAAAGTTTAAATTATTTTTTTATGTTAAACATTTTTATAATCCCGTACGGTGAAGCAGTTGGAAAAGAAATATCCTAATAAAGGGTTCGCGTATATAATACATGCAGAAAGACGTATTAAAGGATTTGAAAACTGGCGGGATGGACATTTTATGTTGATCAGTTCACGCTGGCAGCGGCTTTGCGAATCGGATAAAAAGCTTTGCAAGGGAGTGAAGGTGTTAAGACGTTTGAGCTCCGGGAGGTGTCCGCAGGGGGGTATTTGATGCTTGTCAATTGCAAACGAGCAAAAACAGGAGCTTCCTGCTTGTGCTAAGAAAATCCGCACAAAATAATTGGAATGAATAACCTCCGCATTTTCCCCTTGTGTTTCCCGAGGGAGAATATACTGTACACGAGGTAGCCACAGAGTCCCTGATATGAAACCGTTTTTGTCATTTAACTTGTTTTCTTTTAGGTCCACGGTTCCGAAATGGGTCCACCACGCTATAACTCCAGCAGTAGTAGACGCTTTGGAGAAGTATATACCTCAGCCCTACGCGGGGGAGATCCGTGGGGTGTCCTCAGGCTTTGGGATGAGCCTGGCTGACGTCATCCTTCTGAACTTTGCCTACGAGATAACCGCGTACGTACTTTGCTAAGAAAATGAATGCTGATGTTTTTCATAGTGTTTTTTTTTTTTAGGTTGAAGGGGACAGCTCCCGTTGTGTCATTAAGAAGATTTTAATGCGTCAACTAAAATGCGTTGATGTTTTTCGTAAGATTCGTCTTTATCCATTCATGTTTAACTGCTTTTTCCACAGTCTGTTACCTTACCAGTATGTCTTTAGACTAGGTGAGAACATACAAACTCCAAGCCGATTGCATCTCGGATCTGGAACCCAGAGCCCCAAAGCTATGAGCCAACGATGTTAACCACTGTGCCACCCTATTCTTTTTTCAGTATAAAAGAAACACGTTCTGTATTCAAGTGTTTCCTTATCCATCTTTTTTTTTTTATAGAAAGAGGCAACTTGTTCCTGCAAAAGTTTCCAGTAAAAATACTTTGGGAAAGAATGATTTTGACCCTTTGATGTTGAATTGAACACAATTCATGTATGTGAGAACTGGTTCTGGTTTGCAATTAAAAGCGCAAGTACTGGGAGACAAATGTCTCCCAGTACTTGCACTTTTAATTGCAAACCAGAACCAGTTCTCACATACAAAATAAGCCAATAAATGCAATATAAGTATTTTGTTTTTGTCTTAATTCATAGTTACAGTACATACAGAAACATATAAATGTAAACTTTAGATATTTTTAAAACATAACTCCTGTGGTTGCACAGCTCTGTTATTTTAAATATGGTGTCAAAAATGTTCAATTTCCTGACATTGTAATAGCAGAGAATTAAAGGTCTGAAACTCTTAAATTCACCTTCGCAATGGGTAGCACAGTGCAGTACAGAAAGTCTGGTATTTTAATAAATGCCACTAACTGTACTATACCATTGTACTCCATTGTACTGTCTTGTTCAGTAAAAAGCTAAACCTAAAGTTTTCCTAAGGTGTAGATCTGAGATTAGCACAATGCAGCCTTGAAAATCTTTTTCTGTCGTGTTTTTCCTAGGTTCTGCACCAGTGTTGTAGCTCAGGACACTAAAGGAAACATCTTCCATGGCAGGAATTTGGATTATCCATATGGGGACATTCTGAAGAACATTACAGTGGATATTCGCTATGTCAGGAATGAACAGGTATCCTGACTGATTTTGTCACCCAGCTCTGTCTTCACCACGGGCGTGCACAGTATATTGTTGTTTTTGAAGGTGCGCATCATGTACAGTTGTTTCCTTCATCCAAGACCTTCAGAACTGCTGCAGGTGTCGTAGTAAAAGACAGTGTGGGGATCCTGAGTGGCTCCTCCAGTACACGTGCTTGTCGGGAGAGCAGGTTGTGTCCTGTGGTCGGGGCATGAACCTTTACTGCCATTTGGGTTCTGCAGTAATGGGGGTGGCTTGAGGTTCCTGTGTCACAGCCCAGGTGTGAGTCACCAGACTCGCTTGTGAGCTTGCAGTTTTTTCAGGAAGAGTGCACTCGCCCCTCGGGTGGGGAAAATGTGAAATGAGCATTTCTCAATCTGCACTTAGGTGGCGTACAGAGGAACCACCTTTACTGGTTATGTCGGCCTGTGGACGGGACAGAGTGCCAAAAAGTTCACTATTTCCGGAGATAAACGTGGTAGGTTTTATCTGAGCCCCATTCTAAGATGGAGTTAAAACTCAGTCCTTACTGAGCCGTTTCTTCACATTATATTAGAGCAGCTTGTTTATGCAACACGTTGAGCAAACAGTCTCTGTGTGTTTTTTCACAGCTCGGGGGTTTTGGTGGGAGAACTTCATCGCCGCATTCCTGATGAGATACTCTCCAGTCAGCTGGCTTGTGAGAAAAGTAGGTCAAATGGGATATTTTTTTGTCAAAAAGCGCTTCATTTTTAAGAGTATCCTGTTCTTTTTTTTTAAATCTGCTGTTTCTCCTACACACTGAGAAGACTTTGTTTCCCTGTAGACGCTTGAAGATGCTGAGGATTTTCAGGATGCGGTGCTCAGGCTGTCCAAGATCCCCATTATTGGCGACGTCTATTACATCGTGGGCGGAGTGCAGCCTGGAGAAGGGGTGGTTGTGACGAGGAACAGGGGTGGACCTGCAGACATCTGGTCTCTGGATCCCATCAATGGACAGTAAGCAAGAAAGGATTACAGTTAAAAAAAAAATGATCCAACCTGCAGCAGAACTGTCCAACTGTCCTGAATAATAGTTCCCCCAAAGCAACCAAATTGATCTGGCTGTAAAATAGTTGTTCCTGGTGTAACGTACAGAAGCATTCACCTTATTTTGTTTTCAGAAATGTAATGTCTCATACTTGGTTCACAGTATGTTGGTTCTTTTCAATCCTTCTGTAACTGTTTAGAGGAGGATATTTGTTTATTTAGCAGGATAAACTGTATGGATTGCGCAATATTAATATTTACATGAAAATGTACTTCGAAATGGTTGTCATTTTACTAAGCAAGACGCAGAGCAACGGGCAGGTGGGTAGCTGTGTTTTATTGTTCCGGACAGAAATGAAAGGGAAACGTCACCGTGAGAGAAGGGCAGGCAATCATAGATTAAATGTAAATAGCTGCCCTTTCTTGTACATTTAAAATCTGATAATTACCACAGTTTTTCTTGAAAAGGGTAACAAATAAGCTGTGCTTTTCTGCTGTAGGTGGTACCGAGTGGAGACAAATTATGACCATTGGACCACTCCTCCTCCATCTGATGATCGCAGGTGTGTTTTTTACCCTTTTTCTAAGTTTTTTCGAATCTAGCCTCACTCATAAAGCTTTGAAAATATATTGATCCACGAGTGCACAGTTTGCTCCCCTTTTCCTCTCTCACACTGCGGCCCATTGGAAATCCCAAAGTTTTAAATGTAAACCGTATTATTTATTTTTGTTTTTTGTTTTCCGCATCTTTTTTTTTTGCCCCATGCTTTCATGCGCATCTTCATACTTTTACAAAGACTTTCAGCAAATTAAGAGCAGACCCATCTCTGAAGTGAAAAGGACTGAATGATGCCTCGGGGCCTGTATGCAGAGCTTTAATTGTTGACTTTGATGGGGGCGCAGGATTGATATTATTTTCTTCTAGAAATATAGCATGTCGGCTACTTCATGTAGAATATATGCAACAGAAATACAAGCCCTTGCAGATGAAGACCTGTCACAAATGTACTCAGTGTTTCTTAGTCCTGCCAACACACGGTTAGGAATCATCCTGTGACGGCACACTTTTGGGTATTTTGTGTTTGCTTTTAGTTGTGACTGGTGGGATTCTGCCTGAATCTTAACAACACCTTCTCAGAGAGGATTCTTGTGTTGCTATCTTAAGATGTGATGACATTTTTCATGAGTCTAAGCGCATGCCAAGTAAAGTCTGTTACAAGGTCGGGTGGACGCTGAAACTCCTTCAGTAAGCACTTGCATGTGCTTATTTGCAAAACATGTGCTTGCAGAGTGAAGTAGGCTTGGATTACATTTTGCCAGAGCAGAAACTGTCCCCCGTCTTTTCGGATTAGATATTAAACGGAGATCAAGACTCTCAGTGGTCATTAAAGATCCCCGGGCATTTCTCGATAAGAGTAGGGAGTTATCCCGGCATCCGGGCCAAATTTCCCACCTCGGCCTTTACTGTGGCCTCCAGATGGTCCCCATGTATGATTGGCTTGCACTTGCCCTGCGGTGGACTGGCGTCCTGTCCAGGCTGTACCCTGCCTTGCGCTCGTTGTTTGCTGGGTAGGCTCCGGCTTCCTGCGACACCATATGGTATAAAGTGGTTTGGCAAAGGAGAAGACATGACATCAACTGTCCCAGTGATCAGATGGTGTCTGTTATCTTAAAAACCTTTTCCTCTTTGTTTCTTTCTCGGGGAAGCCCCCTTCTTTGATGTGTTTTGTATTTTGCTGTTGTGGTCTTCTCTCAAAGTACGCTGTTATCCCACAATGGTTTGGATACTGTTGGCAGAGCTCGTACGTTCTCCCCATGTTTACGTGGGTTTCCTCTGGGTGCTCCAGTTACCTCCAACGGTTCAAAGACATGCCGGTTGATTAATTGGCTTCTGGGAAAACTGGCTGCAGTGTGTGTGTGCGTCCTGCCTTGCACCTGTTGCTTGCTGGGATAGGCTCTGGATCCTCTTTGATGCTGAATTGGATAAAACAGTTAGAAAATGTAGGTAGGTTAACCATATTTTAGTGCATGGTTTGTCTTTTTTTTTTTTTTCGGTCCACCTGAGCTCTGAAGGCTGATCTTTTAGCCTGCAGTGTAGCAAGTTTGAAATAGCCCATGGCAATTGACAGACTCACACATGGATCTTCTTTGAATTCCTCAGGACCCCAGCCATCGAAGCGCTGAATGCCACTGGACAAGCACATATAAATCTGGATACTCTTTATGAGGTAGGATAAAAGGTACATATTTTCATTAGTTTAAATCAGAATCCAATGATGTTTTTATGCAGAAGTAATTTTCTCCTTTGTGACTATCAAGTTTATGATTCTTAGGCGACTTTACGCGTTCCTTCTTGTTCTTGTATATGTTTGTACATTTAAAAAATGAGAATCCCCATTGCTTCTTGTATTGAGGACTATCCTAACATGAAATTCGTCTTTTTCTGTCTGTGCTCCAGTGAAGCAAGCCCATTATTCACAAATCGGCAAATGTTTTTGGTATTTCCTCCACCCCACAGTTTCCCTTTGTTGCCCAGGAGAAGCCTTCAGAACCTCACGCATTCATTAAATCATTCTGTCAATTGAGTCAAGTGTCTTTTTGTTTTTTGCAGATTTTGTCACTAAAATCAATAAGCAGGTAAGTAAGCAGTTTCTGTAACCACTGGTCACCGGCAAATGTCAGTTGGTTGTTTTGCGTTATGTGCTGTATGAGTAAATAGCCTAACTTAAATGTTGAGAAGGTATCTTATGTGCTAGAATACAATATAAAATATTTTGGCAGGATAAGCTGTTTGTAGGCAGTAAATGATGAAGGAAGACATATTTTGTACTTCAGTACATATTTCTGCAGTATGCCGTTATCTTAAATTGGAAAAGAAACGCTGAACTGATCAACATTTTGCCTCAGAAGAAACCTAAAACCAATATTGCTTGATGACAAAAATAGAAATTACAACAAGCTTTAAGTAACATTCTGAGTGGTTTTAAAGTTCTTGAGGTTTTCTGACCAAAATTAAATGAATAACTTCTGTGTAAGCATTCACCTGTT